TCTGGAAATTCCAGGATTGGCGTTGTCAAGGGTATCAACGTGTTCTCTCAAGGCAGGACTCCTTTGACGCCAACCTGGACCCTCACGCGCCCTTCCCACTGGACGCATCCCGTGCGGCCCTTCCTCTACCGGCGCAATTGACTTCCTCTCGCAGCTTTGGACATGCACCATAGCGGAGGTTTCATGATCGTGACCGCGGGACCCCGCCACCTGAGGACATCCTGGCTTCTAGAGTTCGTTCTAGACCACCAGGACGCCCAGGCTATTTTGGCTCCTGAATTGCTTTCGTGCTGACCTACCCGTTCTTCCGGAAAAATCAGTGCGTTCGCCCCTGCGGGGGCGTGTGTGTGCCGAGTTCCAGATTCACCCTGGAACCAATCGTTTGAATTTCATGCAGGGGGGGCAGCAGGGTCGAGAGTCTGCCACCAACGAAGACACTCTCGTGACCCTGGTGAAGCAGTTGGAGACGTCCAGCTGCGTACCTGCAATGGTTGTGCAAAGTCCTTTTGGCCCGCTGTTTCTCTGGCTGTGTGTGCTTCATGTTGGATCTGGTAACGTTTTCGACTCTAGAGGGAAGCCATCGGTCTCGCCACTCGAAAATTACCCACTCGAACTAACCCAGCCGACAAGTTGTACTCGAAGATAAGCAACCTCCCTCGGGAGTTCAAGTGTGTGTGTGTGTGTGGGTGTGCGTGTGCGTGTGCGTGTGCGTGTGCGTGTGCGTGTGCGTGCGATGCGCGTGCGATGCGCGTGCGCGTGCGCGTGGGCGTGCGCGTGTGCGTGTGCGTGAGCGTGTGCGTGTGCGTGTGCGTGTGCGTGTGCGTGTGCGTGTGCGTGTGCGTGTGCGTGTGCGTGTGGGTGTGTGTGTGTGTGCGTGGGCGTGTGCGTGTGCGTGTGCGTGTGCGTGTGCGTGTGCGTGTGTGTGCGGTGCGCGTGCGCGTGCGCGTGCGCGTGCGCGTGCGCGTGCGCGTGCGCGTGCGCGTGCGCGTGCGCGTGCGTGCGTGCGTGCGTGTGCGTGCGTGCGCGTGCGTGTGCGTGTGCGTGTGCGTGTGCGTGTGCGTGTGCGTGTGTGTGCGTGTGCGTGTGCGTGTGCGTGTGCGTGTGCGTGTGCGTGTGCGTGTGCGTGTGCGTGTGCGTGTGTGCGTGTGCGTGTGCGTGTGTGCGTGTGTGCGTGTGCGTGTGCGTGTGCGTGTGCGTGTGCGTGTGCGTGTGCGTGTGCGTGTGCGTGTGCGTGTGCGTGTGCGTGTGCGTGTGCGTGTGCGTGTGCGTGTGCGTGTGCGTGTGCGTGTGCGTGTGTGTGTGTGTGTGTGCGTGTGCTTGTATCCTGCGTTTCTGTGTTTATGCTGGTGTTCAGCCTTTGTATGCATTTGCGCGTTTGTGTTTGTGATTGTGTTTGTGAGATCATTCTGATAGGACAAAATGTCAAAGCAAGGTGGAAAGGCAGAGTTGGTTGTGTGTCAAACCAGCCTGCCCTTGTCCAAGAGAGTCCCGCTCGGGTTCAACAGGTGCCCACGCGGGTTGTCGAAATGAGGGACCCCCCGAAACAGCCCATCCTTGGAGAGCCAGCCAAAAGTGTGTCTTTGGAGTCGATACTTGGTTTGGAAGACAATCCAAAAGCAAACCAATGCCCGCTTCAAAACTCCATATATTCTTTTTTGAGACAACCCAAACCCTCTGAAGGAGCATCGCCAAGATCCCTTTCCCCTTTCCCGGAGGATCCCCGCAACCTCTCCGGAGCTTGCCCCGGAACCTCCTTGCAACTTCTCCAGAACCTGCTGGGAGCCCAGTTGTGTTTGCTGAGGAAGCCGGAGGGGCCCTTCAGGATCAAGGGGGACCTGTTCCTCGGCTGGGCATGGAGCCCCAGAATCCCAGTGTGCCTTGACACACTGGAAGCGCATGCGTTGTGCAGAGTGATGCTAGGGGGAGAGGGCCTTGGGGAGTGAAAGAGCCCTCTCGAGAGATTCCAGACACTTTCCATTCTCGTCATAGTGCTTGGGTGTATTCCAAGACAGATCACCATCTTTTCAGCATCAGAGCCGTTCATCATTGCAGCTCATGTTGATGCAGCGCACAAAGAGCCTCGATTCCAGCACGAGGCTGCAACAATCAACAGTACAATCTCAGCGTGTAAAAGTCAGAGCTTTCTCCAACATGGGAACCCAAGGTTGGGCGTGTATGTTCCCAGGCGTGTATGTTCCCAGGCGTGTGTGTTCCTGAGGGAGTCCTTCACTTTTTGGGGAAAACTCTTCTGTTTTCCTCCACCAGGTTGATTAGTCGATGTCGACGTTAGTTTTTTTTTTTTTTTTTTTTTTATCATCCATTGTTCTTTGGTGTTGCTCTTGGTTCGAACCTGAAACCTATTGGCCTTTGATTGGTTTCCATGAAGTGGCAAAGCGTTTAGCTCTTGGCAGGGGCCAAAGACCAACCCAGCGCAGTCAAGGGAATTTCATCAGACGCCAAATGACCAAATGACCAAATGACCAAATGACCAAATGACCAAATGACCAAATGACCAAATGACCAAATGACCAAATGACCAAATGACCTGCATATACCTTCATAAACCTTCATATACCTTCATATACCTTCATATACCTTCATATACCTTCACATACCTTCATATTCTCCAAGGCCTTCGGCCCCATCGCGCTCGCGCCAAGTTGCCATTGAGAAGGGTTACACACCGAAATGCAACTATGTTTGATGTCACTACAGGTTACTTGTTGTGTATGATTCTATGATATTGTCTTGGTTGCTCTTGCTTCAACCTGGAATCGTGTTCTATGATTGTTTCGAAACATTGTTGTATCCTCCTTATTTGCATGTCGTTTGCAGATGTCAACAAAGATAGCCCAGTGTAGTCAAAGGGATTTAGCCTCGACAGTGCAATGCAGCCTGGACAGATTGTCACAATTGAGCTGGATGTGGTAAAACAAACGGGGCCCCGCGCTTGGTCGAGGCCGGGTATAGCTATGAAGTGGGGACTATGTGTTGCAACAGGCAAAGAGGGACATCGTGCTGCAATCCGAGGAAGTCGCCCGTGCACAGACGGGGCGCTCAACAAGCCCGCATGCGAGAGACATTGAAGCCTTCCGCACTGCAAATCCAATGTTGACATCAGTGCAAAGGGGCCCACCTTTCGTTGACATCAGTTGACACCCGTTTTCCCGTTGCCTGAGGCCCACGCGGCAGAGACCGCTATGATCCCCAGCGTGGCAGCGCTGAGCGAGGACCTTCCAGCTTTCCTTTCCCCGGCGTTTTGGCTTTGAGTCAGCGTTGGCAACATCTTCGTACTCATTGGTTCCTTTGGGGGGGGAATAGTTTGGAATTTGTAGAATCCTTTTCATAGCATGGTGTGCTTGACCTAATTCAAATCCAATCTTTCGAACTTTTGGGAAAGACTACTTGAAAGGGCGAACCGTCCAAACTCTTACTTCCAAGGGATTTGGAGGAGACGGTCAAGGGGAACCGATGATTCACAAAGCCTTGTGAATTCACGGGGGGGCGACCGTTTTGGAAAGAAACCAGACCACCTTCAGGATCAACAGAAGGTTCGCATCGGCCAGGTGCTTTCCTTTGCCCATGTGAAAGCACTGCCATCCTTATCCCCTATGTACACTATTTATAGGGTGCCAGGTCCTGGTGCGGATCCATGAATAAAGCTAAAGGCTTAAACTCCTTTTTGCTTCATTCCCCCGAGCTGCAAACATGACAATCATACCCGCGTCGGGGGACGCAATATTTCTTGTCCAGGGAGGGGATGCTCTGCCTTGTTCTCCTTGTTTCCGTTTTGGTGGCTTTGAACACCTTTCGGCCCCATTTGAAGTCAGGTTCGTTTTGGCAGGCTTGTCACCGGTTTCCAGTTTCAGCTGACACTAAGTGTTGGATCCCCAATCGATGAAAATCACCCCGATGGTTTCGAGCTGTGGTCTGCACCTCCATCAAGAAGCCGCTCTCGAAGGCGGAACAGAGTGGCCGGCGACGTTGAAGCACATTGGCGCCACTCCCCATTTGAGACCCAGCATTGTGCGAGTTCAACATCAAGTTTGGGGATAGGGGGCTGATGTCGTGTGGCAGTGTTTCTGGTAGAATTTGCTGCGCCCTTGTCTGGCGCCTACTTCAATATTAGGATGTGAGCCATAGCTTTCAGTGGACACTTTCCATGAAGGGAAGTCGATGATCCTCCGTCACGGTTGGACACGGTCAACTTGTTAAACTTGAGGGATGGCCTTATTTTACCATCAGGCACCCCCAAGAGGTTGCTGACGCAAGCTGACTTTGGCCTAACGTACCCTAGAGGCCGCCATTCCAACCATGGGCCTGGATCCATGCAGCCACTGTTGGGCGATCGAGGCTTGCCTGAAATGGCTCAAACCGGCAGGGGTAGTTGGGGTAGCTGGGTTACTTGAGCTAACATGGTTTCGCATGTGCGCATGCCAGGGAAGCAAGTCTTGGCCACGTCTTGGAATATTGGCTGCCCCTTCCTGTGTATACTTTGGCTTTTTGCATCGACTCAGAAACCTTTTGGCGGGAAGTATTTCAACAAGCAATTTTCCCCCCCCATGTTGCACGTACTAAGACACAACCTGCACCCAGACACGACTCCGGATTGGTTGCTTTGCGTCGATGACAGCTTTGCCCTTGAAGTGAGGGCTGTGTCGACATCAACAGACCCCCCTGAGCAAAATGCAGGGAAGCCAAAAGACAAACTCAACACCCCTGCAAGGGTGACCGACGGGTTTTCAGTGCCCTTTTTGGTTGGAACACCCATGTAGGCACTGCAGCTGTTTTACCCTAGAGCAATCTCCATTTGCTCCGCCCAATTTTCTCGGCGCAAGGTTGTGGGAATGAGACGGTGTGTCCCACTTCCGTGATACATTGGAACTGTTGCTCTCTTTTAAGTGCATAATTTGTCATTGGGAAGGACAATTTTGCCGGAGGAATCACAAGTGGACCGGCAATTCCAGAAGCCTGCGAGTCTCTGCCCGCATTTCTGCGCCATGCGGGGGCTGCAGCCGCGCGGGCACTACCACCAGTGGGGCACCGCGCAGTCGGAAGATGGGCAGCCCGGCAGCTGGTGGCTGGAGATGTTTTGGTGAGATTGTTCACTGGGGGGCGGCACAACATTTTTCGCTGCTTGTGATCTAGTGCCATAGAGGTAGCCATAGCAGCGAGATTTTCGACTATGAGTGGTTTGTTGCCACCGTCTTTTAGAGCCATGACCTTCCCATGCGTCTCCTTGACATAGCTCCTAATCCGTTGATGATACACCAGATGAGTAAACGAGCAGTGAACAGCCAAACTCCCGCGTTGGCAAGCGGGATGTGGGTTTCGACGAACTGTTAGTTTGATCCTCGTAGGCTTTGCGGGGTTAGTTGAGCATGTGGTACTTGCGGTTCTCCTAATTCGCCACCCCCTACCAGTTCAGTTGGCGAACTCAATAACCTCATCTTGATGGCTCATTTTCATACTTCACGAGCTCCACTAGTGGTTCTTGCCCGTTTTCCTCATCCGGCTTCAAAGAGCTCTGCTACGTCTTCAGGGCGATTTTCACCCTCGAGCGGCTAGGGGTAATGGCTGACCGGGCAGCCTTGGCTCAGGTCACCTCAGTCGGATGACGATGAAGACGATGATGAGGAGCTTCAGGCAAGGATCCATGCTTGACACCCTCTCAGTGGGGTTGTGTTAAAATGGAAGCTTGACCGTTTGCCGACTGCTTAGGCGTTGCCCACAGGGGCTTGCAAGGTGGGCTTCTCAAGCCCACAAAAGTTGGGGGTTGAGGAAAGAGCCTTGGTATGCTTGGCATGCAGAGGATGTCCAAGGAGCCATGACCCCACGTCTGGAGTGGTCCGTTCATCATTCTGAGCAACAAATTTATGGGTGTTTCTCAAAGGGAGCTCCCCTGGTGGCAGCTGGCAATGGAGGGAGAGGTCCACTCTGAGACGTGTCGCTCTCCCTCGCGAGAACGCTTCACCGGAGCTGCTGGGCACGGGGGCGGACAAGAAGGTCCTGGCCGGGGTGCTGAAGCGCTTCAGCAAGGAGCGGGGCGGCGGAGGGAGCGTGTTGTTGGGTTAGAGCCCTTGTCCCTGCAAGCACATGGTCGTGTTGACCAACCAGGGGCTGACTTTGGTATCACGAAAAAGAATTGTTTGAAAGACCAAAGCCACTGAAAGTTAGCTTCGTACCATCCGGATCCGGGGCTCACTGATCAAGTGGTTCCAAGGAAGTGCACCCGTCACAAGGGGGAACCATCCCCGATTGCGGCTCTCCGTATTGCGATGTGACTTTGGGGAAAAGGCAGCTTTCCTTTAAGAAGCAAGCGGCTTTACTTTTCTACTTTTTGCAGGAGTCAAAGGCCATGGGGTTGAACTGTGACTCGAGCTTGCAGCATGGCCGCGAAGCATCAAAGGCTACGGGGGACGAGCGATTGTCTTGCAAGCTCCCTTGAATCACAGGGTTCCGAGGGAGGCCAAGTCTCCAATTCCGACCGCCCAATCTTGAAAAGGTAAGATGAATGGGGTCTTCTGAGCACCAGGGTTGAATTTGGGGGACACCTCTTCCAATTGTAAAAGCGGGGCTGCGTGTTTGCAGACTTCCTTTGCGGGAAGCCTGCGGTGGGCGGGATTTGCATGTTGAAAGGTTCCCTGCGTGTTGGTTCTTAGAATCCGACATGGACATGGTTGCTGCTCAGGACAACCTGGCAGACGAGAGCTGGGGCCTCAGGGCATCAAGTTCAATGTAGCGTTGACCACGTGCTTGGTCTGCCTTTAGCTTCCCTTGAACCAAACAAAACAGGGCTTCACCTATTTGCCTATTTGATGAAGTTGCCATCCATTTCCTCTGCAAACGCGTTTAGGGGTCTCTTCCCCATGAGACACAGCAGCTGCCGTGCCTTTGAGGAGCACGCGGACTCTCTAAATTTCAACCGCAACCGTGGGGAATCTCTAATTTTTGCCATCGAAGCAGGTAGCCTGATGGCATATTTGACAGCTCAAATGAACCCACTCGGTCCATCGGGCCCTCAAAACCCGATAGTCAGAATGGTAACGAGCAAAAATCAGCCGGCCCGAAGACGGGGTTAGTTGGTCCTTTGAATTTGGCTCAAACATCATCATGTGGAAAGACCTATCTTCATCGAGTCTCTCCGTTAAACGGGGGCGTATAAGGAACCCGGTGGGACTGTTGTTGGTAGGCGGACAGCTGCTGGGAGGTTTCTTCACGCATTGCCCACTTGGGACACGTTTGTGTCAATAAAATATTCCCAATGGCAGCGGGTTCCGTTTTTGCTTCCCTTCACGAAAGCCAACTCAATGCTGGCGTTCAGCTTGAGGAATTGCGTTTTCCCCCATGGTAAGCGACTCGGGAGTGGCAGGTACGCCCTGGGGTGTGTGCCGATGACATTCCATGAGTGATCCAGCACTGAGTGGTCAAATCTCTTATTTCAACCTGCGGGTCGCGCATTTGCCTTGTTTGGCTCTCTCATTCAGGTTCATTTTGGTCTACCCTGCACCATGGAACTTCTGGGAAGATACCTGGCCCAGGTTACCCAGAAGGTGTCGAAAGGACGAAAACCCTTTCAGGTTCCGTGCGCCAGGGGTCCAGTTCCTATCTGCGAATCCTTGGGAATGCAAGTCCAGGAGAGCCATTTCAGAGGCTCGCAGATCCCCTTTGCCCACCTCCGGCCGCTTCTGAAACTTGGAGTGGCAAGATTGCCGCGGTGAGGTGACTCCGTAGTGGCGGCCATCCGGATGCAGGCGAAAGGGCAAGAGCGCGAGCGTGAGCAAATGCTGAGAAAGGTGAAGGCCGGTTCCAGTAGCACCAGGCCTCATACCTAAAGTGACTGAGGATACTAAAGGTGGGAAACACTCAAGGGGAGTGATGAAAGTAACTTATTCAGTGCGTCCTCACCCATCATGACAGTTCCTTTCAGAAGCACCTCATTTGTTCGCTTTTTTTCATCCAGAGATATGGACGATTCATAACTAAATGTGTTGGTGAAGTATTCTCACTATCCACTTCTACATCCTTGGCTTTGCTCGCTGAGACCCATACATACCAGCATGGGCTTGGAACGCTTTTCGAATGAATGTTCGTTTGGGCCCCCAACCTCAAGAGCAGCCCAAAGAAGGACACGTTCTTTTGAGCCGAGACCCTTTCAGAATAAGCCAGCGAACAAAGCCGCCACAGACAAATGTAGAAGCAAGGCAGCAAAGTCGAAGAGAAAGAAGGCTAAACGCTAGTGAGTGGCCTCTCCGAGCGGCCAGGTGAGGGCTGTGGCGCCGTTCAGGCGGTTACTAAACGTTGCAGCTTGGTCGCTTTGGACGTTCGAATCGCAGTGTGTGTCGTTTTGATGGGAGAGGCAAGCAAGCCAGGGGGGCACTCAATCAGAGTTGCCAAGAGTTGCTAGCTTCCCAAGCCCTGAAAGCCTATGAACCTTGCAGATGCTGGTTGCAACACACACTTGAGAAGCAATGTGTCCCTTGGGACCTGCCCCATATTCCCTTCAATTTGCCGATGCCAATCTGTATATTAGGTATAAGTAAAATTGAAGAAACGGACCCCAGGGGCACTACATTGTGTGCCTGGAGAGCACTGGCTGAGGAAGAGCCTCGGGATGGAGAAAGGTTTTATGGCCAGTCGGCAAGATGTGGGCTGACTAGGTGGGGAGAGTGACTGTAGGGATTTCCCCACTTACTTGGTCATCACAGGCTTGGGGGGGGGGGGTAGGATTTTTGTCTCGCAAGTTCCTCTTGAGACCAAAATGGGAAGGCCCCCCCCACTGGGCCCTCAAACCACGAATTAAGGACGGTGACACATATAGTGTAAAATGTGAGAGCAAAAAACTGCTGGCCCGCCCATTTCGAAGGGGTCACGAAGGTGGTCCTAATTTAAGCGTCTGCCCGTATGGTCAGATGACGGCCAACAATACATTGAAGCAGTTGCTGGCATCCTCATGTACAGCCCCAAAAACATGTTGAGGCAGCTCCGTTGTGGAAAGAGTGCAACGCAGTTGATACTATGTGTTCTTCCTTCTTCCGGTTCTTTGTAAAGTAGTGCTTTTCTAGTTTGGGTCTGCTGCAAAATAGGGAACCCCTTTCTGAACTGTCGGAAAGGGATGCCAAGAAACAATCCATTTGGAGGTGTCCCTGAATTGGAGAAACTCGGCTTCAGTTCTCATCCCGCCCCTTTGCAGTGTCAAGCACTAAGGTTTGATCAGCATTTCCTCACGAGAAACAGGGTGGTTTGATGACATACCTGGCTGAGAAAGAAGACTAGGGAAACAGTCGGCTGAGGTGACGACCTGCGGGCTGTGGCTCCTCTTTCAGCCCCGTGAGGATTCTGCGTCGCTGCTCCTCACCAAGAAGGGCCGCTGCTCGGCTTCCTCGCAGTGAGATACACCCTTTGCGCTTGACCAAACCTGTGAGCCGCGGGGTGCCGTGCCAACCTAGGGGTTTTCATCAAAATGCAGGAAAGTCCCTCCCCACAAAACTGGTTGGTTTCTTGTCCGAGCTTGTCGTTTCCCGCTTAAACATCCAAAGCGGCTTCCCTATTTTGATATGAAAGGGAGGTTGTTTGAACGAGAGTGGTTCAAACATGCGTAATGACGTGGTTCAGTGAATCAGTCCTGGGTGCCAAAGAAAGAGTTGCGAATTTTCCATGGACGTTCTTCTTTACCTTTCTGCCCGTGCTTATTATATCCAGATAACACAACATACTCGTGGGAAGTGAAGTGGAATCCATGTTTTTGATACAAATCCGGTTTAAGGCGATGGAGCAGTGGCACAAAAGACCAAGGCGCGATCATATTCAGCGATTCCATTTCTTTCTCGCCCACGAATGCCGGATCACTCCAGTGGTTTCCCATGGAGAAACAGGACCCATGCTTGCTTTGGGATCAGGCAGAAGAAACGATCTGGTTTCGGAGGGGGGGGGGGGGGGGCGCAGAAATGGTTTCTCAATAAAGACCGGCAACCAGTTTGCATTGAAGGGACACCCTTTTGTTCCCATCTGGGGAAAAAAACAACCCGGGGAAGTTGGAATGTTAAGCGCACTTGTTTCTCCATCGGTGCTGGCCAAAGCGAGGCTTCATTTGCTGGGGCAGGGGGCAGGAAGCGCAGCCTGGCGCGGTGCGCGCGTACCTTGGCAATGCACCTGGGCAGAACAGCTGGCCCAATGGACTGATCGGGGGGAAGTGTTTAGCTGACAGTCCGACGGGAGGGAATTGTGTCAGGCTCCAAGTTTTTACCCCACCAAGGAAACTCACAAAATGAATTCAGCTTTCCAAAGGGGCAACAAAGGAAGAGGAAACATGAGAAGCACTAGGGTCGGTTCAAGCAATCGAAGTTGGGGAGCAACATCCTGTTTGATTGCCGACCGAATTGGACTCCCTGTTGCCAGAAGTGTTTGCCCCAAATCTTGATTTCAAGCGGGCTCTGTCACTTCCCATGGTTTTTTGTTGCTTCCAGATTGCCTACACTGCCCCCTTCTTGGTGGTTTTGATCATCACCTTTTGGTCGGAGATGGTGTTTTTGTTTTCCTAGCCCTGGTCCCCCCTTAGCCCTGGTTGGTTGGTTGGTTGGTTGGTTGGTTGGTTGGTTGGTTGGTTGGTTGGTTGGTTAATTGGTTGGTTGGTTGGTTGGTTGGTTGGTTGGTTGGTTGGTTGGTTGGCTGAGCTGGCTGGCTGGCTGGCTGGCTGGCTGGCTGGCTGGCTGGCTGGCCGCATCCCGGCATCACCAACATCACTTGGACCTGGGGTTGCCTATTGGCTCTAATGGGGTGGCAGTTGGGAGTTGCTGGGGTCTGGTTTAAGTTAGGGGGGTTTTGGCTGGCTTAGATCTTCATGAGGGTGGGTCTTGGGGTGGTTTGGGGTTGATTTAGGCGAAGCGAAGGGCTGACATCCAGGCTGCTGTTGGGCGGGTTTAGGGTTGACTTTGAGTGGGTTTGGGGTGGCTTGGAGCTGATTTGTGTTAGGTGTGCTGCTGGTTTAGCAGCGGCTTTGGAGTTGCTTTAGGGTGTGGTTAATAGAGTTCTGGTCTAGTTTTGGTGGTTTGGGGCAACGCTCCCCAACCCAAAACTAGACCAAAACTCTATTAACCACACCCTAAAGCAACTCTAAAGCCGCTGCTAAACCAGCAGCACACCTAACACAAATCAGCTCCAAGCCACCCCAAACCCACTCAAAGTCAACCCTAAACCCGCCCAACAGCAGCCTGGATGTCAGCCCTTCGCTTCGCCTAAATCAACCCCAAACCACCCCAAGACCCACCCTCATGAAGATCTAAGCCAGCCAAAACCCCCTAACCTAAACTGGGGTCTTGTTAGCGCAACTAAGTTAATTTGGCGCAAACGCGTTTAGCCCTTGCGTTGGTCTCGCACGCAACGGTTTTTGAAAACCTGGGACGCAGAACGGCGGTGCTTTGTGGCTTAGAATGTTGCAGCAATCGGCGGCGCGCCTGACAGCCCTTCCGAACCCACTTTGGTCCCCATAACTCCTTACACAAACGCGGGCTTGCCAGCTGGCGCGTCTGCGCAGCTCAGCTAAAGTGGCAGTTCGTGAAGTAAAAAATGTTCACAGATGCAACGGCAGGCTGATCTGCGAGTTAAAACTGCTTGGCAAGGGCTTGGCAAGCGCTGTCCGACTCAGTTCAATGTTCGTGCCTCCTACAAGCTAACAGCCAAAGATTTTTGTTAAGCAAGTTTGCCCGAACCAGCTTATTTTTTTCGACCCTTGTGGCGATGGGTTCAGAAGTTTGGAGAGTCCAACATGTTTGGAGTTGGACTTCTGACTGAACGCTAAGTTTGAGTCAAAAGATTGCTGGAAGCGGTGAGTCGGTGCTTCTAGGAAGAAAATCGCACATTTTGGGTCCAGGTCCACGTGCCCAGCAAAATTAAAAGGAGTAGCCAAAGATTACCTCCGCCCGCTGGTCGGCGGAACAACAAGTCGTCGTGCCCCAAAAACGGGGTTTGCGTGTCACAGGGTTGTGCCCAGGAGCTTGCAAAGTTAGCGCCTGCGACCTCGTGCGGGGAGAAATTCAATGTTGAAAAGGGTACGTGAGCGCGCGTCAAAAAGACATCGCGACGGACCCGGCTAAAAGCGCAGCTGGCGCTACTTTGCGGGGATTGGGCCCCGACAACGAAGAGGCCCAAGGCCTGGCCCATCCGCAGAGCGCGGGCACGGCGGGCGCTGCTATTTAATTTGCAGGAAAGGGTTCGGGGACAGCCGGAGCTATGAGGGGAAACCCTGCCCTGATTTAACTGCGCGATTCAGCTTCAGCTCAGCTGTCTGAGGGCTGAAAGCTCGTTGCCTAGCGCCCATGCAAGAAGCGCCAGACCTTGGCCCTTCTCGGTGCACGGCAAGTTGGGCTTGGGAGGCGTTGCGCCTGACAAATCGGGGGGTGGCTGTCCAGATGTGCGCTGCGTGTGCCAACAGGCTCAGCAAGTGCCGCGAGAGCAGCGAGCGCTGCACAAGCAGCATCAGGACCGGTGAACAAGCGTGGCAGGAGAGCCTCGTTGACCGCTGTGCCATTGACCAACCCAATCCGAGCAAAGTTGCAGCAGGCAGCGACGCTCTTAGCCGAATCAGTTGCGACTTTAAGGACGCAAGTTCGTGAACTGCGCAGGCCCAAGCACAGATCCCGACCGCAGCCCTGTGACACGCAAACCCTGTTTTCGGGTACGAAGACCCATCGTTTTGCCAACCAGCGGACGGAGTCATTCCTCAATGTTACAGGCTGTAGAAGCAGTTGCAGCGCCCAAGAGAACTATAAGCACTTTCGCAACTTACTGCTTCCAACGAGCTGCGTCAGCCTAAAACTGTCCGCTGCCAGACATTTCATAGGCCACGCCAAAGTTCGAGTTGCTTCCCAGCTTGAGGAATCCCACGGCTACTTGAGTCTGCGGGGGCTTGGGAGATTCGAGCCAGTTCGAACAAACCAACAAACCTGAGCTAACAAAACCATCTAGCCAGCGGAGGTCAGCGCGCAACTTGAACTGGTTCAGATAGCGCTCGCCAAGCCCTTCGCTTTAGTAGCCTTTATAACTTTTACACACGCTCGCTCACTCCTGCTGTAGCTGCTCTGAGCAGCGCAGATGCCGCGAATTCCAATTACCAAAGCGCAGGGTCGCTGTGATGTCCTAGCGCCGCCGTTCTGCGGGCGAAGTTCGATGCCGCGTAACCACTTCTCCCAGACAATGGGGTTCTTCATGGAGAAGCCGTTTTGTTGGCAGTTGGCGCCCAGTCCAAAGATCTTGGAAGTAAAAGAAGGGCCAAATTAAATTAATTGCGCTAACAAGACCCCAGTAAACCAGACCCCAGCAACTCCCAACTGCCACCCCATTAGAGCCAATAGGCAACCCCAGGTCCAAGTGATGTTGGTGATGCCGGGGATGCGGCCAGCCAGCCAGCCAACCAACCAACCAACCAACCAACCAATCACAGCCAGGGTTAGGAAAAAACCAGGGTTAGTAAAAAAAAAGAACACCTCCACCGTAGGGAGGAAAAAACCAGGGTTAGTTAAAAAAAACACCTCCACCCCTTTTGGTCGCCCATTTGAAGTAAGGTTCGTTTTAGTGGGATGTTGTTTAAAGGGGTGTTTCAGGGAACCCTTGGCTTTGCTTGCTTCTCCAGACGCTTCAATTCGTGGGGAGGGGGGGGCGACCAAGAACCTTGCGCCTGTGATGCCATGTGAGGCTGACCGTTATTTATGGAGAGACCCCCTATGTCGAAAGCAGCAAGGGATACAAGCCATTATGGGAAACCAACTTAATAATCCATATCATGCTTGAAACCAGGCACAATTCAAAGGCCAAGGTCGTTTCCCTTTGACAGTGTCATGAAAATTAAAGTATGCCCTCAAGAAAAAGGCGTCCAAACATTAGGGCTAACTCTTTGCAGTGCGTTTGAAGAGAAGGAACCAACCTTTCTTGGCGGAATGACATAAGTCCGCACTCGACATGGGGCTCCATGCGCCTCAAACCTCGCCAGGTGCTGTGCTTCCTGGTGCTGATTTTCGTGCCTCGGATCCACGAGTCCACCTTTGCCCAGTGTTTCTCGGGAAGGTGGTCGTTTTTGAACGCGTGTTTTGGCTCGTTTTTGAACGCGTGTTTTGGCTCGTTTTTGAACGCGGTTTTGCTCAAGTGTATTTGATTTACAGCAGCACGGCCATTTTTCCAAGTGTCCATGCACACCACGATGAGGCGCACGAACACGCATCATCAATCATCATCACCATCAACACCACCATCAACATCAATGTCATCATCATCAACATCAATATCATCATCGTCATCAATACCAACATCATCATCAACAACATCAACATCAACATCATCGTCAACAACAAAATAAACATCGCCATCAACATCAACATCACCATCGTCATCATCATCATCA